CCAACTGACATTCCCATTAATAATGCACTGAGGGTTTCTAATTCCCTACATCTTTGACAGCACTTACTGTTTCTTGTATAATCATGACGGGTCAAATGAAATCACAAAATAGTTTTAATTTGTATTTCTCTGATGGCTAATAGTGGTGACCACTTAAATTTTTCTTCTTAACCATTTGTATTTCCTCTTCTGAGTAACTTTCTTCATGTTCATAGCCCACTTTTTTGTTATTTATTTATTTTATGTATATGACCACACTGTTACTGTCTTCAGACACAACAGAAGAGGGCATCGGGTTCCATTATAGATGGTTGTGAGCCACCATGTGGTTGCTGGGACTTGAACTCAGGACCTCTGGAAAAACAGTCAGTGCTCTTAACCTCTGAGCCATCTCTCCAGCCCCCACAGTCCACTTTTTAATGGTATTGTTTTCTTGGTGTTTAGAGTTTTTCCCTAATTTTATATATTCTAGACATTCATACTTCTGTAAGATGCATAGCTGGCAAAGATCTTTCCCCATTATATAGGCTGCCTCTTCAGTTGATTAAGTTTCCTTTGCAGTACAGAAACTTTTTAGATTCGTGAATTAACACTTATTGTTGGTCCTATTTCCTGAGTTAATGGGAGTCCTATTCAGAAAGTTCTTGCCTGAGCTTATATCTTTGAATGCATTGCCTACTTTTTCTTCTAGGAGTTTCAGAGTTATGGGTCCACCATTGATATTTTGATTCATTTGCAGTTAATATTTGTATGCAGAATGAGAGAAAATTATCAAATTTCATTATTCTATATATATATGTTCAGTTTTGCCAACATATTTTAAAGATGCTATATTTTCCACGTGTACTTTTGGTATTGTTATCTTTTTAAAAAAATCAAGTGGCTGAGCTAGATGTGGTGGTATATGCCTTTAAGTCCAGTACTTTGGAGCAAAGGCAGGAGGATCTTTGTGAGTTCGAGGCCAGCCTATTCTACATAGAAAGTTCCAGGACAGCCAGGCCTTTACACAGAGAAACTCTCTCTTGAAAAAACAAACAAACCAAATGAAAAAGTCCTAGAGAGAATAAGAACACAGGGAACATACCTTAGTAAAAACAACATAAAGGAATCTCATCACCAGCACCATCCTAAATGGAGAGAAACTCAAAATATTTCCCCTAAAACCAGGAACAAAACAAGACTGTCTATTCTCCTTCTCTATTAACATAGTACTGAAATCTTAGCTAGAGCAGTAAGACAAATAAAAGCTGTAAAGGGAATACAAATTTAAAAAGGAAGAATCGAGGGTTTGAGAGATGGCTGGCTCAGGGGTTAAGAGCACTGACTGCTCTTCCAGAGGTCCTGAGTTCGATTCCCAGCAACCACATGGTGGCTCATGACCATCTGTAATGGGATCCTATGTCTTCTTCTGGTGTGTCTGAAGACTCACATATATAAAATAAATAAATCTTAGAAAGAAAAGAAGGAAGGAAGGAGGGAGGGA